TTTAGAGAATGTATGAAAATGCAGGTGACAGCATTTCAGAGCCACATGGAGTCCTGCCCTGCAGCCAGTGCCCTTGACACTGACCGTCACTGGCGAACAATGGGGACGGTGGAACATGGGCGATTTGGGCTAAGAGCTGGGTATGCTCTGTCTACAACGTCACCCTGAGGGAGACAGACGAGGCAGGGCTGTACACAGTTAGGGCAAATCTCAGTTTTTAATTTTGTGTTGTCCTATCCTGACTTGTCTGTCCCTTCGCACCAGGGTAGTTGTACACTTACGTCACCTCCCCCTTTAACGTGCACCTGTCACATGGAAGCAAAGGCCTCCCAGCCTCCAACAAGAAGAGAGGCTCAGCAAACACAGTGTCGCCGGTCTTCTGGAGGAGGTAAGAGGGAAATGAGACAAAAATCAAACCCACCATGGCCTCTGATCCACGAAGGCCAATGTGGGCGGTGAGAGACTGATGAGACTTCAGCGGGGCACAGCCTCGCAGGCATCCCATCCACCTGCGCCCTGCACTGCGAAGAGAGCGGGACGCCGACACGTCCCTGGGACAGCTGGGGCTGGGACCGACCCACGTCTCCCGAGTCTGGGTTCCGGGGAGACAGGGTACAGGATCTGATCTCAGTTAGGATGCTTTTGGCTGCAAACGACAGACCACCCAACTCAAAACGGCTGAAACAACGAGTGTCATGATCTCATCGGCCAAAGACGAAAGAGCAAGGCCAGGCATGGCACAGGAGTAGGTCTCCAGTCAACTGGTCCTGACTGTGGGGGTGACTCTGCCACCACTGACCTGTGTTACAGCCTCCACGTAAGCTGCTTGTCAGCATCCGCCGGCGGTGACACCACCCTCTGAAGGGTACGGTCATTCCTGGGATGGATGCGATGTGCCATGTTCAAATCCCACACGTGAGTCCTTTCTGCACGGCCACAGCTCCTTCTTGCCTCTCCATAAACCTGACGGAGAAATATCCAAAGAAAATAAAGATGATTTTACGGATTTGCTATTTCCATGGGTCGCTAATGATTGTAACTGGAGAGAATCAGCCCTCGACGAAGGTCTAACACCTGGCTGTTAGCATTCATTTAACATAATTTCTGTGGACTTCTCTGTGGCAGAAATCACACTTTATTGGCACACGAAGCAAAGTGGTTTGCCTCTAGGTTCATTTTATTTCCTCATTGTGGAAAGAACATGTAAACAAAATCAGGACCCTCCCTGGGGGAGATTCCCTGATGATATTAACTGTCCTCTCTGCATTCAGCCAGAGATTAATGTCTTAAGGCGATACAAGGCCATTGAGAGAAGCGGAAAGGATTAGGTCTAGGAGTGGCGCTGGTGGGTGCGTGGAGGGTGTCAGAGACCTGCCTGCCTCCTAGAGTGGACTTTAGAAAAGCCCCTTCCCATGAGATTCCTTCCCCCACCCGGGGCCCTTGTTCCCTCATCTTCAAAAAACCCAGACTGGACTACATAATCTTTTTTCTTTTTTAATTATGGTGAAATTCACATAACATAAAATAAGCCCATTTTACAGTGTACAATTCACTGGCATTTAGTGCATTCACAATTATGCAACAACATTTTATGCAGAATGTTTTATCACCCCCAAAGGAGACCCCCGACCCATTAAGCTGGATCAACATAATCTTTTAAGGACCCTTTCAATTATATAATTCTATGGCTCCAAACTAGGAAATTGACTCATTTTGCTCTGTGAAAATACCCTCCAGACTGCAAAGACATGAAGATTACCCCATGAGTGTAGAACATCTAAATATTTATCCTTAGCAAACACAGTGGGGGTAGACGACCTGAATTGACGGGGCGGGGGGCAAGTGATTCCTTGGCTGATCACTGTACAGCTCAATGGTGTTGGAAATTTCCATGGCTGGGTCAGCTGATGCCCATGGAGTGGGCTCCCTGGCAATGGAGACCCGGAATCAATTTGCGCACAATCTTTGGCTCCGGGACAGGACATGGGATTTACATAGTTAGTTCCTTATCAATTTCTGGAAAACCATGGTCCCTTCTGTGTTTATCAGAAAACGGAGATGCTTTTCTATGAATTCAGATTCCTGAGCCAAGGGGCATTTTTGTGGTCGCCCCCTGGATGTAATGAGCCTATTCCGTCGACTCCATCAGTGATGGGGTGAAGTGGGGAAGGCCTGATCTTACCGATAAGAGCCTTAGCTTGGGAAAATGGTCTATTTGCATTCGTTGAGTCTTAGCTGTCTCACCTCCCCAATGAAAGAACAGGTTGTGATTGTGGGTGTCCTATGTTTTCAGGCTGTATAATTCCTTGTTCAAGCCAAGATCCAGTATGGAAGCCTAATACATCCCACAGGTGATGTCAGAGGTGTTGTGGGTGAGGAGGGCGTTGACCATGTCTCACTCGGCCTTCCCCCTCCTCTATGAGGGGTCTCAGTGGATTCCCCGCTGTTCCCTCCAGCGCAGTATGGAAACCACCACCCATCTGACTCTACAGGAACTCCAAGCACTGGTGTTGATGGTCTTTGGACCATCTGTTCACCATCTGTGAATTTCTGCTTTTTTATTGGCCACCAGGTAACCAAGAAATGTCAATGTGTGTGTGACCCCTTCCAAGTTCATGGTTTTGCTCTCTATGCTCACCTGGAACACAGCTGCTTCCACCCCCATGCCTCATCCGCTCACACCTTTTAAGTCTCGGTGGGCCCTACCCGTGTTTCCAGGCTGCCTTCTGGACTGCTCTGTTCGGTGTGGCAATTAAAAGATTAGATGCAGGGGGAGGTGACTCACTGCTCCTACATTTTAATTGAACTTGCTGTTTCTCTCATGGAAGACTCAGGACATAAACACCTAAAATTTATGAGTAGCATTTAGAACTGCAAATGAGTTCTGGTTTCCATTTTTGGTTTCACTCTACGTGCTCTTGTGGGGAATCAACCCTATTACAGATTTATCACCTCCATGGACACCTCTACCCATTTGGGGAGATGACCCATGAGCGGGGCCGCATCTGTGTGGTTGTGCAGTGGCTGGCAAATTTCACTGGCATCACAAGCTGAGAAAGTCCCTCAGCCAGGAGCACTATCCTGTCATGGTTGAATTTAGACAGGACACAAACTTGTACTGATAATGAATTCTAGCGACCTAAATAGGAAATAATGTAAAACTAAACAAAACGGCTCACACTGTATTTATATTGAAAGATTCAATTGGTTGAAAAACATCTTAAATGAAACAGCAGCAGGTGGACAGTTTTGGTGGAGGGTGCTAATGACTACACCTGATATCAGTGAGAAGGAAGCCCTACAGGACTGTCCTCTAAATACTCTTGGCCTGAGATTGCCATTCCTAGTGTCTTCTGTCTGCCACGGCTCCTTACAGTAATAGTCACAGTCACGGGGTTATCTCAGCACACGCACCCTGGGGAGTCAGACCAGTCCCTACCCGACCTCACTGGAGGAAGGGGGCTCCCCTGAGCCATCAGGCTGGCAGTGGGGAATCGAGGCCTGGCCCCCCTCTCCTGACTTCTCACCCAATGCCCTCGAAACACCAGCAATCGCTCCATGGTCCATTAGATTGGACTGAAGCTCCAACAGCTTGCAAAGCACATTTTTCTAAAGAGCTGTTATAAAGGTCTCGCAGCTCAAGTGTAATCTAGCAAAACCGCCCAGCCCTCTCCCTTCCCCTCCCTTTTCTTCCCCTCCCTTCTCCTTCCCTCCCCTCCTCAGATGCTTGGACTTGCAAGGGCAATGAAAAGTGATAGCTGACTCCAGGAGTAACTGCACCCAGCCCAGAACTACTTGGAGAATACACGGAAGATTCCGGAAGAGCCAAAGGAATCTCATAAGGGACTGTCTGGCGTGGTGCTCCAAAGCCCAGCTGGCTCATCTGCTAACTCTCCCTCGGCTGCCCACCAGTTTGGGAGCTGGGAGCAGCTGCTCTGCCTCTCTGTGCCTCAGTTTCCTTGTGTGGACATAGGATTGTTCATGGGCTCTGCCTCAGAGGCTGGTCATGCTGCAAGGCCTTTAAGACAAGGCTCACCTGTCAGTCATTCGGTGTCTACCATGTGCCAGGAACTGTACCTATCACAGTGAGCATAATAAGCAGAAATCCCTGCCCTTATATGAGGGGGAGCACAGTGAACAATCAATAGGGGCATTGGCCCCCAGTTAGATCAGACCTTTCCCAGTAAGTCACCCATTCGCTGGCATTTGGGCACGTCCTTCCCAGGGGCCTCTGACTGTGGGCTGACACCCACCACTGTAATGTTCTGCCAACCAGCAGCCATCGGTACACATAATGTGCTGCCAACTTGTGCCCTGGACACACTCAACGTCCAGGAGGCACCCCCTCAGCCTGTGCCAGACCCCTCCCACCCGTCAAAGGAAGGGCCATGTGTTTTGCATCAACAGTGAACTGGGCCAAAGTTTAGTCAATCAAACATTGTGTAAGGGCTCGCAGCGGCTGGTGGCGGGGTGGCGGGGTCGGAGGCCTCCCAGCATTCTGCCGCAGCTGGCTGTTCAATGATTATCTCCCTGGGGTTGATTGTGGGGACCCGGTCCAAAGCCTAACTGACCATGGCCTCGATCCAAAGACCTGCCCCTGACGTCAGAGACGAGCCTCTGGGGTGGGGCCAAGGGGCAGAACCTCTCTTCTCCATGGCTTTTAAAGCCGGGTGGTTCAGCTACCAAACGCCAACACGGGCTTCCCACCAGGAAAGCACATTCACCAGCGGGAAGAACCCAAAAGCAGGCCTTGGATCTCTGATCGAGATCGTCCAGACAGAAGGAAGGTAGGTTGGGCATTGAACTGACATTGCTAAAGATCAGGGATAACACAGGACGAACTTCCTGTTTTCCCACAGCTGCGACTGTCTGCAGGTGCAGCCTGAAGGAAGCCCGTTGCCCTGGTTGGAGGGCGTCTGTCCTTGTTTATGTTCAGGAGGCCCGTGCTTCCTATTTCAGGGAACCTCGGTGTCCGTGGCCCTCAGTGCAGCTCTGCAGAAATGCCTCCTCAGCTCCCCAACGGCCTCAACTCCTCAGCCAAGGTCGTCCAGGGAACCCTGGACAGCCTGCCCCAGGCGGTGCGAGAGTTTGTGGAGACCAACGCCAACCTGTGCCAGCCCGAACGCATCCACATCTGCGATGGCTCCGAGGAGGAGAACCGGCAACTGCTGCACCAAATGGAGGAACAGGGCACCATCAAGAGGCTGAAGAAGCACGACAACTGGTGAGTGGAGCCCCAGCCCCAGCTCTCCCCCCTCCCCACCCTCCAGCGTGGTATTGGTGGAAAGGGGTGGGTGACGGTCTCTGGCAGGGGTGGGAGGAGTTGCAGACCCTTGAAAAACTATATAAGGGCCAGAACCATGTAGACTTGGATTTAATGACTTTTGTAGAGCCCAAGTCTTCCATGAGATAGCATATACAAATGGACGCTCTTTGCAAGCTAGATCCCTGATTAAAAGGAAAGTCAGACCGTCCCAGTCCTCACAGACCAGCTCACAGTCTCGGAAATGTCTCCGTGACCACGTCCCAGCTGGCGTGGCTGTCCACATCCATAGGATATCATCAGCGTGTCGGGTGCCTGCTAGGTGTGGGGAGAGCCTGATTATGAGTAATCGGCCCCTCATCCCTAAATGATGCTGGGCCGAGGGGATCCAGCAGACAGGTGCACTCGAAACAGCTGCACTTCCCTCCTTGACCCTCACCTGTGTGTTTTTGATTTTTTTGCAGTTGGTTGGCTCTCACTGACCCCAGGGACGTGGCCAGAGTTGAAAGCAAGACGGTCATCATTACCCGAGAGCAAAGAGATACAGTGCCCATCCCCAAGAGTGGCCTCAGCCAGCTGGGTCGCTGGATGTCAGAGGAGGACTTTGAGAAAGCATTCAGTGCCCGATTTCCGGGGTGCATGAAAGGTAAATAAAACATTTATTTGATTGGGCCAAACATCCAAAAGCCTTTGATTATTACATCTGTCTAGTGGTAATTTTAAACATGATAGAAACTCCATGACCTCAGAGATCTTTAAATTCCGTATATGAAATTGGCAACGTATTGAAAATGTGCACCTCGGTTTTAGATTTACAGGCTGTCTCAGAGGAACATGAAAACAATTTCCACGCATGGTGGAGCCCAAATTGCACATTTATGAAAACTCTTTTCTTTGGTATTCTGTTCACTTTCCGGTGGACCCCTGTAAATTAAGAAGCCGGTGACAGCAAGGTGTGACGTGATTAATGGAGAAGTGTTGGTTGCTGTGAGCCTGAGGTCCTTCTCCCCGGTTCCCGCAGGTCGCACCATGTACGTCATCCCCTTCAGCATGGGGCCCCTGGGCTCGCCTCTGTCCAAGGTGGGCATCGAGCTGACGGACTCGCCCTACGTGGTGGCCAGCATGCGTATCATGACGAGAATGGGGACGCCCGTCCTGGAAGCCCTGGGCGACGGAGAATTCGTCAAGTGCCTCCATTCCGTGGGGTGCCCTTTGCCTTTAAAAAGTAAGCACGTTGTTTCAAAATCAAAAGCTAGAATTCTTAAAAGTAAGCTTAGCCTTAAGCCCCGGGCCTGTGTCGGGGGACCTCAGGTGGGGTCGTGCCACCCTAACGCCACGTGTCGTCCTCTGCAGAGCCTTTGGTTAACAACTGGGCCTGTAACCCAGAGCAGACGCTCATCGCCCACCTGCCCGACCGCAGAGAAATCATCTCCTTCGGGAGCGGGTACGGCGGGAACTCGCTGCTCGGGAAGAAGTGCTTTGCCCTGAGGATGGCCAGCCGGCTGGCCAAGGAGGAGGGGTGGCTGGCCGAGCACATGCTGGTGAGATGCAGGGAACTCTGAGTGTGCATGGGCGGGGCTGGGCTGGCAAGTACATGTGGCATCCCAGTGCCCATCAGGCAAAACCCGCACACCCAAGGACAGATTTGGAAATGCCATCAGTATTCCAAATGCACTGCGGGTGCCTCTTTGGAGCGGGTGCCTCTTTGGAAGCACGCAGGCGCAACCAGACCAGTAGATCCTTTGGATGTCGTTGCTCAAAATATCTGTTTTGATACCTGAAGAAATAAATGTTGGGGACCCACCGTTTGGGGGCCTCTAGGCACACCCCGAGGCTAAAGCACTGGTTGGGAAAGAAAGGAAGGAGGAACTTAAGGAGGGATCTTGTCTCTGCAGATCCTGGGCATAACCAACCCCGAGGGCCAGAAGAAGTACTTCGCGGCCGCGTTCCCCAGTGCCTGCGGGAAGACCAACCTGGCCATGATGAACCCCACGCTCCCGGGCTGGAAGGTAGAGTGTGTGGGCGACGACATCGCCTGGATGAAGTTCGACCAGCAAGGTGACTGACATTAATTGGATCTCGGTGGACTTTTGGCTTTTAAAACACTCCAGTTCCCCTAAGTTCACACTGTTTGGATTTTTAATTTAGTAATTTCAGATCTTGCAAAATCTTAGAAATATGTATTCTACAGAAGCATTCTTTCATTTACTATCAAATCTGATTGCAACGGGACCCTTGTGCAGCTGTTTGTTTATAGAATACATATGTTAAAATAGTATTGGTGGGAAACTGATGAGGAAGAAAGAGTTGTAAATATAATTGCTTGGATGAGAAAAGAGAAATACAGTCTAGGGAGGAGAAAAAAACCATTTGAGAATTTGGTACAAAAATGAGCCTGGCAAGATGTCAGAGTACATGGTGCTTCGCTCGGCGCTCACTTGGACTTCTCGGGTTTAAAACTCTCCAGGTAACTTAAGAGCTATTAACCCAGAAAATGGATTTTTTGGCGTTGCTCCTGGGACCTCTGTGAAGACCAACCCCAACGCCATCAAGACCATCCAGAGGAACACCATCTTCACCAATGTGGCCGAGACCAGCGACGGTGGATTCTACTGGGAGGGCATCGACCAGCCGCTGGCCTCCGGGGTCAAGCTCACCTCGTGGAAGAACAAAGAGTGGAGCCCTGAGGATGGTGAGCCCTCGGAGGCCCCGCTGCTCCAGCCTGTGGGTGCTCCATGTCTGGGCTGGGCACTCAGGGGTCTCTTCTCTCTGCCCGTTGTAGGGGAACCTTGCGCCCACCCCAACTCCCGGTTCTGCACCCCCGCCAGCCAGTGCCCTATCATCGACCCTGCCTGGGAGGCTCCGGAGGGCGTGCCCATCGAGGGCATCATCTTTGGAGGGCGCAGACCTGCTGGTGAGGAGCCCCTTCACCCAGGCTGGAAGGGTCTGTGAAATCGCCCCTTTCCCATGACCTTAGAAGGGGCCTGCAATCCGAGCTTCTTTTCCAAGTACCCGGGATGATTGGCAGGCTCAAATGTAGAGGCTCCCCTTCTGGCCACCTAGAGCTTCTGGATCCCCGATTCTACTGAGCTTTATCCATTTCCTTTGGCTGCGTGGCCTGGGTGGTGCGACTTGGGCAGTTTTTTGGCCCTTGGGCTTTGGGACCCCAAAATTAGCGGAATTGAAAAGACGCTGTTCGGCCGCACCTTTTCACTCTGTGAGATGACATTGCTGGCCGAAGGGTCTGAGTGTCAAAGCCTTTAAGGAACGTTTTTTCTTTCCTGCTGAAGGTGTCCCTCTGGTCTATGAAGCTCTCAGCTGGCAGCATGGAGTGTTTGTGGGGGCAGCCATGAGATCTGAGGCCACAGCGGCCGCCGAACACAAAGGTAAATAATCTGAGTCAAAATCTGAAACCACAAAGAACAGTGACTGGGATGACCTGTCTCAGGGCCTCTCTTTGTCTCTCTGTCTCTCCTGTCTCTATGTCTCTCTTCCTGTCTCTCTGTGCCTCTTTGTTTGTCTCTCTCTCTGTCCCTCTGTCTCTGTCTGTGTGGAGAGAGGAGACCAAGCATGCTTATCAACAATACACATGTTGATACTGTCCCACGAGAGCAGCATTTACCAACAGAGGCCCCTCTGTGTTAACAGGCAAAGTCATCATGCACGACCCCTTTGCCATGCGGCCCTTCTTTGGCTACAACTTTGGCAAATACCTGGCCCACTGGCTCAGCATGGCCCAGCGCCCTGCAGCCAAGCTGCCCAAGATCTTCCATGTCAACTGGTTCCGGAAGGACAAGGACGGCAAGTTCCTCTGGCCCGGGTTCGGAGAGAACTCCCGGGTGCTGGAGTGGATGTTCAACCGGATCAACGGCCAGGGCGGCGCCGAGCTCACGGCCATTGGCTACATCCCCCGGGAGGAGGCCCTGAACCTGAAGGGCCTGAAGGACGTCAACATGAAGGAGCTGTTCCACATCTCCAAGGAGTTCTGGGAGAAGGAGGTGGAAGACATCCAGGCGTACCTGGAGGAGCAAGTGAACGCCGACCTCCCCGGCGAGATCGAGAGGGAGCTCCAGGCTCTGAAGCAGAGAGTCCGCCAGATGTAAGGAGTCCCGGGCCGCACCCTTCACATCGCCCCCTTCCCGTCCTGAGGTGCCCTGGGGCAGGAGAGTGGAGTTTCCCGAACCCATTCCGCCGGCCACACCGCAATGACCGCACCGACGGGCAGATCCGACAGACACGCTTTAATTGTTCAGATACGACCACAGGGTACAGGCTAGTAACTAACGAGATTGGGAAGGGAAATTGTAGCATGTCTCACAGATTCACGATTCCGTGCACATTTGTTCAATCCTAAGGACTCTCAGGCATTTAGTCATTTTTTCACTTTAGCTATATCAGTTAGCTGGAATGCACAGAAAACAATACTTGAGCTGTATATATGAGTGTGTGTGTGGAGTACTTGTGCATGTGTGTTTATGTACTGTTATCTAAAATATATTTAATACCTTTGGAAAAAATCTTGGGCAAGATTACCTACTAGTTGTTGCTAGAAAGAAATGTCACTTTATTATTAACATGTATGTTTAAATTATTTTTATATATGTTGTTCCTTACCTTGGCATAATTTCACTTTTCCCCTTAACACTTCTTGGAAAATTACAAAATAAACTTTTGTAGAAAGATGGATTTGTCTGCTTGGTTTTTTAAAATTTGATCCATTTAAAAGATGAGAGGACTCAAATCTCCCATCCCCCATAAAGAGGCGCAATTTGAGGGATGGAGGGAACAGGAAGGGACCAGGTGGGACGATCTGAGCAGAGAATGTCACCCAGAGGGACATGGCACCATGCTGTGGGGTTTTTGAATTAACCACTAGTTAGTGTCTAGAAGCCACTAGTTAGTGCCCTTTACTAATTCTATAAACCTTTAAAGGTGGGTCTTGTGTAACTGGAACAGGAGACTTTATCATGCTTTTTGACAAAAATTTGGGCCTGGGGACTTGGCCTCCCACAAGAATGATGCTGCAGCCAGTTTCACAGGCTTATATCAATAAACTCTCTTTCGAGAGATGCTTTTCTCAGTGTCATCCACAGGGAAGGAGAGTAGAGAGAAAAGTGTCCTTCAGAAGGAACAGCCAAGGGGGTCTCCGTGGCATGAGCATTAACTGAGGGCCTTCTGCGTACCGAGCACCGTGTTAACACTGGGTTCGCAGTGGCAGCCCCTGGTGTTGGCCTCATGCCCTCACCCGGCCCCTCTGCTCCAGTGTTTATTGGGTGTTGGGGAGCAATGCAGACAAGCTGTGAGCTTGAGCTGGCACGTTCCTTCCGCAGATAAGCATGACTTTCTCTGGTTGTTTCCTTCCTGGGCCTGGCCATTCGCGTGGCTTCTCTCCTCTCCAGGTCAATCCCGACACCTGGCTTTCCTTTCACAAACTGCTCATCCCCCTAAACTGCCTTGCATCCTGGAAGGTGAAGCCCAGATCACCCCTATTTTATAGATGGGGATACTGAGGCCAGGAGTGTCCCCTGGGGCTGGGAAATAGCAACCAGAGTTTTCTTTCACTTTAAGGAACAGAGAGACCAAGCTCTCCTGACAGTGTCATGTTCTAATACCAAGACCACTGGGGTTGGGAGGCACTGAGGAGTATTAACGTAAATCAATGGCTTGCAAACTGAATTCTCCTTTTCTCTGCACTAACCTTGGTTGACATGTGCAGCTCAACTGAGACTGAGTGGGGGGGAGTGGGGGACCCAGGCTATAGTCCCTCGGACCCCCGAGAGGGGTTTCCAGGGCAGAATTTGGGCACCACTGTTGAAATGCATGGCCCTGGCCTGGTGTCCTAGTCCGGGCCCTCAGCAGGTTTGTCCCTCTGCAGGCAAAGCTGGACATCTCAGAATTCCTTAGGCTGCCACCCAGTGTCACCCACTAACCCCGTAGACTTCCATACAACCATGTTGCCACCAGGTCCTAAAAGCCTGGAGGGCAGCCTAGAAGAGGTACCTTAAACAGAACAAGAGTTTTCAAGGGATCAAAAGGACTCAGCACTTGCCATTGATTGGCCCCTGACTCAGTTTCCCCAAACTGTGCCAGCCAACTGTCCCGTAGAGCTCCAAGTCCTGGTCTCTGTGTGCGCGAGCCATCAGGACACTACACTGTTATCCTGCGGCACCGGTTTGCAGGAGGCCACGCTAGGCCCTGGGAGGGGGAGTGGCTCATCCTTGGGAGAATGAAAACCCAGTGTCCCGATTCCTGGCAAGCCCTCCCCGCGTGACCTCAAACCAACACGGGGACTGACGTCTTCAATGGGGATCCAACTGAGGAGCTGCCCCTGACCTCCACGTTCCCGGAGCTGTGCTGGAGTCTGGGTTAAAGGCCAGAACACAGTAGGCGCACAGCAAATATTGAATCAGGACAACAAACCTGCCCTACGCACACTGGGGCTT